TTTTGGGACTCTGACCCGTGGATTTCATATGTTATGGCTTTCTGTTGCCTATAACATTGTGAATCTGCATGGATTTCAACAATATGCCCACAAGGGACTAGTGCAAAATTCGTTCACCCCAAGGAGCAATGTCCTTATCCACATTTGTTAAGCATATTCAGAAACTTAAAACTCAGTCAGCTTTAAAGACATACTATGGGACCGTGCCTGGAGCTACGCGACGATCCTTGTCTGTGTAATAGGGGCTGACTGGGGAGAGGGATTGGGATCCAGACCCGCCTCAGATAGGGCATGGAATGATTAATTGACACACCTTGTGTTTTCTGAAACCTGATGGCAAACTGTAGGCTGGAGCCCCAGGGAATGGGGATGAAGGCATGCCATGAAGGCCACCTGGCTCATCCTCTGAGCATCCCTCATGAGTTCAAGTGACCCTAAATGACTCTGCTAAATCGAGATACCAACCATGATGCTGTGCTTGCCTCCCTGCCCCCTCAACATATTCACTTCAGACACCCTAAAGTTTCCTTTCACTTCATTTTTAAGAGATTTGCCTTGTTCTCAGACCTGGGGCTGTGCTGAGTAAAGAGGCCTCAGATTTGTGTTCCCCTGTATTTAGGAATGTGAAAGTCATGCAGGAGAGCAATGAAGATATCTGAGAGAGGATGTGCCGGCATGTCAGAGGCAGCCGTTTCAAGTCATCCAAGGCCTAATATGGAAAAATAGATTTATTTTAAGAAGAAGAAAAAAGTGCACATGATAGGTTTTAGATGAGAAATAATTTGGGAGTGATATTGAAAATGATATCACTCCTGCTGCACTTCAGTCCTGCCAAGCGCATTCTATAATTAATAACTACTTCAGATGAAGTGACTTTCTTTTGAATGTGCAGTATTAAACATTTAAATCCCTATCTGTAAATATAAGACTGTGGCAGATATCTCCGTAAGCCTTGCAGCTACATGCTAATGTATATTTATATTCTAGATAGGTATTTTTAGCAAGAACTACAAGTTCTTTCTTAGTTGGTTACATCAGAGCTCTGTTTTACATTAAATGTCTGGACTGCAAAAATATCCCCTTCTTTTTTCTTCTCTTGGAGTTTTGCAATTATTTTTGCCCTTGTCTCTCTTTCTTTCATGCCCACGTGGATTAACGCACCTTCCAAGATGGCTGTGTGGTTTAGCCCCGCCCCCCACTCCCTCCCAAAGAAGGCAAACTATATAAAATCAAAAGAAATCAAGCAGCAAAACAGCTCCTGGTGCTTCCCACCTTGCAGCTTGAGCCAGCCTGCAATCAGGGCATGCCAGGATAAATACCACCGATCACGGCTATGCATGATGTGACCAGTGTCCTGCTGTGGAAAGCAATTGAAAATGATCCCTGCTGGAAACCCTGGTCCTCTAAGTATTAATCATGCTGTTTGTGTAGCTTTGCTCTCCCACGGCATCAGCGATGCTTTTGTGGGAATCTTGCTCAAGTCAAAGCAACATGATTGAACATGGGTTCTGATCCAGCCCAAGCCAAGGCTGGTGGTGCAATATATTTCCAGAGGAGGAATTATCCTTTGAGATATCCACTCCACCTTCAAGACTTGTGGAGCCCACAAGGAAAGGGCACACAAGGCAGAAATGTCACCCTCATGGCTGGGTGGAGGTGGGACTCAACAGGGTATACCACTTTAAATATTCTCAATAGTGTGGCTCTGCAAACACTTCCCTGAAAGTCTAGTTTCTGTCCTGCTTTACTCTTTAATTTCTAGATGGACGAAAGCATCTGCAGGTTTGCAACTGAAAGAGGGAGATGCCGATCAGGGCTGCACATCTGTAGGGATGCACATCTGCAGGACTGCCCCACATTTGCAAAAGGGCTGGGAGGTGATGAAAAAGGCAAGTTCTTGGTCAGATAAAGCATATGACACCGAAAAGTGCCCTCAAGTCGGGAGTTAAAGTCTCTGGATGTGCACGGAACGACTGCTGGGAAGAACAAGCCCCCAGAGGGACAGGTAAAATCCTTCCATCACAGCAACAGCAGCACTGGATGCTGCCTGCTGTGAAGCCTCATGTTGCAGGGCAGAGCTGCTGCGTGTCTTTTTATGGCCCTTCGGAGACACATCTTTTTCTGTTCTATTTTATTCAGCCTATATTTAAACTTCTCCTTCCGTATGTCCACTTGACCCAGTGACGCAGAAATCTGTCAACTCCTTTGAATCCCCTGGCAGTGTCCTGCTTTTGCTGAGGCAGTACTGCTTGCTGACTTTAATTCCTAGGGACCAAATAGCAAGAATAAATAAGAGCAATAACCAAAGCAGCAGCAAATCAAACTTTGCAAGGGCTCCCAGTGACGACTCCTCAGCCTGTGTCTTACGGCTAACACTGTGTGAACAGATGAATATTAATGCAAAAGGACATTTTGCGCCACTGACGCTCTGTGTGAAGAGCTTTTCACCTCGGCTAATCTAGGAACACATTACAAGTGCTTTGAAGCTAAACCCTGCCTTTGACTGTTTCAGCTGCTCTGGCGATGGAGCCACATTAACAGGCAAGTCTCTGGTGGCAGGAGACCTGCAGTGCAGTGTGATGGAGGATGCTCACAGCCAATGCTAGTGACACAAGCACAGCAGTGGTGCCCACCCGCAGCGTCTTTGCAGCTCAGAGCAGACCCCAAACCGTTGCTCCCCGCCACCTTGCGGTGCTGAGCTCAGCCTCTTTCTTTTTGCCTGCTGCAAGAGAAGCTGCACTACGAAAACCCTTAGTTCCCCCTGTGCTTGTCCCAAATGAGCCTCCTGCAGCCACCAGGCAGTACTTTACTCTTTTGCCACCCTTCTCCCCATCTTCTTCCAGCAGGGACAGCCTTAAATCTAGCTCTTTCAAGGAGTATTTTTCCACTCCCTTGCTTATCCCTTTCTGTAGCTTTTCACCAATGTGGCACAGGGCAGTCTGCATAACCAGAGACATGCCCTCCTTGCAGCCCACGATGCCCCATGCTCCCTCTCTGGGTGAAGGCTGAACACCCAAGAAAGATGCTGCAGGCTGAAAACTGGAGGATTCAACTTTATTTGCCAGATTCTCACCCAGAGGGGAACCCTCACCCTCCCAGTCCTTCTGTATCCAGACCCTGCCCCATCTGGATGTGCAATAGATGGAGGAAAGTTCAGCCCGCATTAGCACAACGCAGCACCCTGCAGCCAGCATGGAAAGGCCACTGGGAACAACGACTTACTCCACAGCTTGAACCCAGAATAGAAAAGGGGATCTGGTCTAAGGAGGGCAGTGGTTGTGGTTTGCTTCTGGCCTGACACATCAGACTGTTTTGGGGAAAGCAGAGAACAGATGAGTAGGAAGCAGAAGCTGATGCTCTGTGCCTGCAAGGGTGGGTGCAATACTAGTATTTCAGCAACTCCCAATCATTATCCTCTCAAAGGCATTTTTCCCAGGTAGACTTGGGCATTGCAAGGGTGTTTCAGGGAAGCTGTCACTGTTTTAGTGAAGCACTGAGCATTTCACCTCCAGAACAAAGGGGCTTATCATCCTCCTGAGCCCCAGGCTTGCATGGGGCTCTTGGCCAAGAAATGCAATGCTTTGTCAAAGTTTTCTTCAAATGGTACTGAGACAGACCTTGAGAGACAGGTGCAATGAAGAAAAAGAGTCCCTCTGCTTATTCCTTTAGTGACCTGGCTGGTGTCTGGTGGAAACAGAATAAAATGGACTTTGCACAGAGCAGTTTGCAGGGATGGTATGAATGCACAAGGATGGTGCATGAGATGTAGCCATGCTCCCCTCTGCCCTTGCTCTTGCAGGCTGTCCCCTGGATGAGCCCTGGCAATAGGAACAGAGCAAATGGCAAGTTCCTCAGCTCTGCCCCACCGGAGAGGGCTGGGAGCTGGGCATGCCTGGCTCGTTTGTATCTGCTATCACTCCCTCTGGTTTTACAGCAGACAGGCCATCAAAATCAATCTTACAGCTGCTCCAAGGGAAAATGGAGCAAATCCCCAGCTGGGACCCAGTAGTTCTGTTAAATAGCATGAGGGGAGCCACTGACTTTTCCCAGAGTTGAGGGTCTGGGATAATCATTACTTTTCTTTTCCTGCAGTCCCTGCTGTGAAGGGACAAGGGAGGGCAGAGTAATGACAGAAGCTTCTTGAAACAGTCTGTCAAACACCTAGGAAAGAAAATCCAGGAGCTCTTATTACAACTTGAGCTTAGCCAAAAGGCTGCTGAGGGTTTTGGCTAGTCAAACTCCAAAATTTGCTTTTGCAGGTCTAGCCTTCCCTGGCTAGACCAGGGAGTGTTTTGAGCTTTCTAGAAATACATTCCATCTCAACACATGAAGGCTAAGCCCTTCTGAACTCATTCCATAGCTTATTCTAGACACAGCCAAATGCCAGCTCTCTGCAATTGCAAACCACACAGCTGAGCAGGTAGTGAGAGGGGACCAACATCCATCTGCTGCTCTGACTCAGGAGATGGCACAAAAAAATGGAAAGAAAATAAACCAACTTCTGATGGAGGGTTGCAGGGATTTTTTGGGTTTGTGCGCAGGACTATAATAGAAGCCCACAGACACAGGTTGCGTGGGAGATTGAGAAGACCTGGGAAAAAAAGCACTGTCCACGTCCAGTGTGCATACAGCCCTTGCTTTTGCTGAGGGTGGCCCCAGAGCACCAGCCTCGATGGCACTGCCCAGGCCCTCCTGCTGTGCAGAGCTGCAGCACTTCATCCACTATTGCTCCCCACAGAGGAAAGCTGAGGGGGGAAATGTGGGTCCTGGGGGCCAGAAGCAGCTGAAGGTGAGGAGCATGTACTTAGCAGCTGGAAGCTGGAAACTTGAACATTTTAGGTCCAGGTGCCCAAACTCTTGGCTTGAATCCACAGCACTGAAGATGGGTGAAGTCACACATCAGCGAAGAAGGTTATTCCCAAGGCGTCTAAGAACTCACGAGGCAGCTTGGCAGAGAAAGAAGTGGGGGCATTTTGGCTGGAGCATGGGCACTTGCAACGTTACAGAGCACACTGGAGGAGTGTGCCAACAACCATGGCCATCAGACCCAGCGCTGAAGAGCTGCTTCTCACTGCACTGTTGCTTCTGCTGTCATCAGTGCAGAGGTCGGTGTAGCAGCACGACTTGGGTCTGGTCGCCCCTATCCCGCTAGAAGGGAGGCATTCCTCCTCACAGCTTCTGGTCACGGTGATGTTGCCAAAAAAGGGATAACCTAAAAAGGCAGGTTGGAGAGGAGGAGAAGGTTAAGAGAGAGAAAGAAACGGTGAAGGAAGGGCAGACAGCTGGCATTGGGAGACACTGAATTTGTGCAATGGAAGGAAATGAAAAGTAAAGTGTTTGTAGATAAGTAAAGGCAAATAAGGCATTGACCATCTCTAATCCCTGACTGCCTGTAATCTAGACTGCTCTCTGTAGGAACACGTCTGTCAGTTCTCCCTGCTGATTCACTCTCTCTTTCCTGCTCCTTCCAAATTTATTCTAACCTGGACAAGAGACACAAGTCCCTGTCTGTTTTGTTCAAGTGAGTTGCTCCTGCAATGCCTCTGCATAGAAGGTGGCAGTGCCAAGAAGCAGTGGTGTAGCACTGGTGTGGTCACTGGTGAGACAGTTGGTGTTAGGTGAAGGTGTCTACAAACAAGGAGAGAGCCCCTGGGTTTCTCTGGGATGTTTGCACACATCTATAGGTCCAGGGTCCGTAAGGACTTAAGGGTAGGAAAGGCAAAACAGAGTAAGCAGAATGAGTCCTGTTATTTCACTATGTGTTTCTGAATCTGATGGATTCACCTCCTACTCCAAAGCTGGATAACTCCACCTGGATTTTTGTAGAGAAGTTAAAGGATAATCCAAGCTGGGACTGGGAGGGGAAGAGGGAAACATGGCTAGCAGGTTGAGGGAGGTGATTCTCCTCCTCTACTCTGCTTTCATGAGACCCCGCTCAGAGTACTGTGTCCAGCTCTGGAGTTCTCAGTAGAAGACATGGACCTGTCGGAACAGATCTGGAGGAAGGTCACAAAGATGATCAGGGGGCTGGAGTACCTCCCTGATGAGGTCAGGCTGAGAGAGTTGGGGTTGTTCAGCCTGGAGAAGAGAAGGCTCCGGGGAGACCTTGTAGCTGCCCTAAAGTACTTGAAGAGGGCTACAGGAAAGGTGGGGAGGGACTCTTTGTAAGGGAGGGTAGTGATAAGACAAGGGGTAATGATTTCAAACTGAAAGAGGGGAGGTTTAGATTAGATATTAGGCAGAAATTCTTTCCTGTGAGGGTGGTGAGACACTGGCACAGATTGTCCAGAGAGGTTGTTGGATGCCCCACCACTGGCAGTGTTCAAGGCCAGGTTAGATGGGGCTTTGAGCAACCTAATCTCGTGGAAGGTGTCCCTGCCCATGGCAGGGGGGTTGGGACTAGATGGTTTTTAAGGTCCCTTCCAACCTAAACCATTTTATAATTCTATGATCTCTCCCCACGAGCACTCATAAGAAGCAATGAAACCTACCTGAGTCTACGGAGTGCAGCGTTGTTGTGCAGACGTTGGCTTTTGGTGGGCACAGGGTGACTTTTCTGCACTCAGCGATGTCCGTTGGTTCCTTGCATGTGTAACATCGTAAGGACTGGGCTGCAGAGGGGAACAGAATGGGTCTGAGGTGGTCACAGCAGCAAAGACAGACAGCAAGTCTGCAGCTTCTTTGCTCTGTGGCAGGGGTTGTGTGACAGCCAGTGCTTCATTCCCCCTTGACCAAGATGCAGTGGTCTCGGAAACTAAGCACGTCTGGAGACAATGGCAAAGCTTGGATAAATCATGCAGGGAAAGACCAAATCCCAACACCAAAGGACAAGGATGGTGCTGTGAGAATTAAGCATGATCACTACCTTGGGGGCTCACAGTCCAAAAAGAGCAGGGATCTAGAGCGATCTATTGCCTAAGCAGCTCTGATAGGGTCTTTTCATCCTCTGTAAGAAATACTTTAACACAGAGCAAAATAGCTCCTTCTGTCGAGAGCAGCCTTCACCAGCACTGAAAGACTGGATGTTCCCCCGTCCCTCCACTTGCAGTGATATCTCCTTTGTGCTTTTTTAGAGGTATTTCTGCAGAACTGAGAGCAGAATTTAAATTTCAGAGCTGTATCATAGATCCTAAGGGCTGAATGCGGCCTAAAAAACACTTTCATCCAGGGCTACTGCTGCTTTTTAAGAGATGCTGCTATAAAGCTCCTGCTGGCTGCCTGCTGACAGAGGAGCACCTTTACATATGCAAGCATTGATCACAGCAGTTGCTCAAAAGTCTTGGTGTGAGTCCTGTCTGTCCGCAACCGGCAGATACCGAGCCTGAGTGTTTTTTGGAGTCGCATTGGTGGGGCTTGATGACAGAAACCAGCCTGGTTTGGCATTTTCTATCCTATCTGCCTTCTACCAACCCGGCAGCTGAAAAGCCATCCAAATGTGTCCACTGCCATCTATTGGTAAAATTGCAGAGACGCTTTTCTTGTTACTGTTCTGCAGCATCTGCTGTTAGAAACCTCCATGAGTTTTTGATAAGGGTAAATATTTTTGAAGGCAGTTGTTTGAACACCTGATTCTAGAAAGAATTTTCAGGGCATCTGTTTCTCTTAGTACCTCCTTTAGAAAATTTAGCTGTGCAATGGAGCCTACACGATGCAAAAGCTTTCTTTGCCCCGTTTGCAGAGGTACGAAGGACTTTTTAATGTGAGAAGTGCTGGTGTTCTTGTGGCCGTATCCTTTGCAAACAAGTATGGTGGAGCTGAGGACCTCAGTAGATCCCTTCCAAATGACCCATAAGAGGTTGTTTTATATTTGAACATGTAGTGCCCACTGAGAGAAAACACGACATTGTGCCTGTGTAGGCCTGGCTAATGTATGGATGGAGCAGTGCTATATTGAAGCATCTGAGAAACTGATCTGCCACCTTTGGGTTGAGCTAGTTTCCAAACTTTGCCATTTTCATGGGTGAGCAGGGCAATGTCGTGGACTCTGGGGGAGTTACTTCCAGTTAAGAGCAGGTTTAATGTAGGAAATCCTTAGCCCCCTTATCTTCCACTGACTCTGGGTGGGGCACTCAGAGGACACTGGTTTTCTAAGAAGGTTGCAGTGGAAGAGGAGCGCCCAAAACCATAAAGACCAGAAGAGAAGAACTGAACATAGAGGACAGTGCCGTATCCTGATCTGAGGCAAATAATTCACTGTTCATCACTGTCCAACAGTACCTTCTACCCTTTGATATCAAACCTCTGGAAGATGACTGGTCACAGATATATCCCTCAGCTGCAAGAGCTGTGCTTAGACCAGCTGCCTCCCACTGGATCATCCCAGAAAAGCCATTTCTGCCCCCATCTCAACTATAAAGAAAAGGGTGGTGATGCCTTTCTCTTTCCATAAAGTGCTCTAAGACCTGTGAGTGGAAACATGCTCTGTCAGGTCCTCAGCAACCCCGTTAAATCCAGGACAGGACTAGACCCAGAAGGAGGAAAAGAAACACATAATACACCACCTATGAAATATCTTGAAAGAAAGAAAAATAACCCCAGCAGGTACTGAAATGTAAAAAAATGCAGTAGCTGTATAGAAGTAACTACACCTGCCCTGGTTCAGCCCTGTAGTGGGTTTGACCCAGAATATGTCCTTCAGCCAGCAGTTGGTTTTGCTTTAGAGACAAGCAGAAGGAGAAATGAGGGTAGGAGAATTAAAAAAAAAAACCAACAGTGCAGCCTGAAGAAGACACCCAGAACACTTGCATGCACAAACAATTGCAAGGTGTATGCCTTTCAGCCCTCTTCCACTTGCAGCCCTTTGAATGACCTCCGTGCAGCCGTCTCTCCAGATGCAGGTGTACAACCCCTGCCCAGGCTACCTTTCCTCTGAGATCTTTCAGAGCCCCATGAATGTAACCTGAGGATCTTTGGGGCCTATGGGCTGTAGGCTAAAACCCACTGGGTCGTTGTCACCCCAAGGATGACTCTGTTTCAGGCCAAGGATGTATTTGCAGTGGGTCACAAATAGATGGAGTAAGAACACAGCGATGCCCAAACCCTGCTACCAGCTTGCCAGAGACCAAACCTAAACAGACCCGGGAGAATAGCCTGTCTCCATCTATATCCTAATCTCTAGAAATGAGTGAAAACCCTGGAGCTGGTCATTTAATGAAGCTTTCCAAAATTCTTGGAATTATTTCTCATGTCCTCGCCCATATCTGTGCTGAAGCTTCACCCTCTGGTTTTCAGAGCCTCCAGCAACCAGCCAGGAGGTTTTAGGGATGGCAGGAGTTTGGCATGAACATACGCTATCCCATCCCTCAAGGGACAAGTTGGCAGCTTAAGAGCTCATACTGCCCTGTGCCATGTGGCTGTCATTCACACCTTAGTCTTGTAGAGCAGCATGTCAGTCTCCTCCATCCTGGGTACGATGCGAGAAGGGCTGGGTGATAGGCGACCACCTATGCGTCCAAACGAGGTGCACTGCTGTCCGTTAGTCTCTCCCCACCAGGAATGCACATCCCCTTTCCCCATTCACCCTCTCCATTGACCTTCTTAAACACATAAAGACGTTATTTCCCCTGCCTGGGGATTACCAGGTCTTTCTGCATCGATGCCTTTCCCCTCCCACGCGATTCCCAGGGAGTCCCTGAAGTGTCAGGAGTTTAGCGGTCTTACCCAAATCCATGTATGCCAGGCCAAGCAGGAGCCCAACCAGAAGCGTCTTCATGCTGAGAGCAGATCCGTGCAGCCGGGACAGTAAAGGACAGCTGCTCCCAGGGACTTTTATATGCTTTCCCACCCTCCACCTCCTGTTGATCCTGTGGGCGGATTCCCTTGGGTTGATCAGGGGAGAGCTCAGCTCCAGTCTGGATTGGGATTTGTAGAGGAACAAGTTCCCCGAGGAGGTGACATCACTGCAATGAGCAGACTCCTGCCATACGTCATCTCTTCTTCAGGTTTATGTCCTGGGGCTGGTCCCATGGAAAAGGAAAAACACAGCCTGTGCTGCAAGGGGTGGCCCCACGCCAGTGCTTGGATGGGGAATGTGACAAGGTATGTTTGTTCCTTCAAGTCTGGCTCCGTGAGCTGAGATCTGGGTTGTGTCACGCGTGTTGCATTGGGCAACAACAGTCGAGATGCAAGCGGCAGCAGGCTGGGCTTCCACACGTGTTGGCTCAGCCTCACCAAAGCTTGTGCCATGTTTTCATGCCTACTGCTCTCCGGGCTGGCAGGTGGGAAGCTGGTGTGCCTGGGTTTGCCCAAAGCATGTCTATTTTCCCAAATCCAGTGCAAAAGCAAGCCTGGTTTTTGCCTCTCAGGGGCTTAGTTATTAACTGAGCCCTGATGCTGAGCTGCTGAGTTTGGAAATCACTGAAAGGCTGGGGGAGGTGAGCATGGGAGATGGTACTTCCAAGTCTGGGATTTGGATATGTCATTTTATTTTGAGTGCTGGGTCCTGTGGCAAAGCAGGGCACTCTGCTGACTTTTGTAAAGCTGTCAACTATTTACCAGTTTTTATTCTGAAGGTGGGAAATAAGCCCAAGATGGTAAAATGGACCAATTTTCTCACTGCAGTACCTTCCTGATAGAAAATTTCACTTTGTGCATTTCAGGGTAACCCTTTCAAACATAAATTTTTTTTGGTATCTTATACCATGTTTGTGGAAACAGCTTAAAAAGCTTGCAGTTAGGGAGAAATGCTTCGCTCCTCACTTTTGACTGAGCCAATGGCATTTTATATTTCATAGGAAAAGTTGATAGACTTTTTGTCGGTTTTGTTGTGATCCAGGATGGAAACCTCCAGCATTATGCAATTTCCTGTAAAACAGATGAATAAACCAAAGAAGAAAAGTTTGTGAATCACTGTGAAACACTCAGAGACTTCAGGGATGGAGACAAGGTGAGTGCACAAGCTGATTTAATGACTGGGGGTTTTCTTGTCACACGCTCTTTGCAGTGATGCACATGGGCATTGCTACGATTCCCAGCAGCCTAATCTTTTTCCCAGTTTGAGAATGGGGCTTTTTGGGAAAGTGCTGCTCCCTAAAGGGTTCTCAGTAACTTGAGAAGCATTGCTAGTGAAAATTTCCATAGTTGTGGATGACACAAAGCCATTCGAGCTGGGGCAGCAGGATCGATACTGTGCCATGAGAAAGGGAGGGAAAGATGTGCACCCTAATGCTTGCTTAGCTGTGAGAGTGAAAACCATCATTTGTCATTATTTTATCTTGCTGTATTGTCAGAGACCAGGTACATAAAGAAAACCAGCACAAACATACCTCCCTGGGTATATAGGAAAGACTGTGCTATGTGAAAGCCACCAGACCTAGTTACATCCAGATCCTTTCTTGTAACTGGGCAGTTCCAAGGCTCATTTGAGCAATCTCTTAATCAACAACCATGAAACTGGAAAAGATCCAGTGCTTTAAGCATTCAAGGTGGTTATGCCTCAATAGGCAAGCACAGCGGGGCTGGCATTCCAGCGTTCACAACACTAAAATGCTGCTTGATGGATTGTGTGTACCTTGCTGAAACAGGGATGTCCACACAGGTATGTTGTAAAGGTCTGCCCGTACTTGAAAGACGTTGTACACTGAGAAACCCTTGGAATAAATCAGTGCGGTTGAAGAAATAGTGATATAAATAGGAAATAAATAAGTCTATCACTGTGGTGTCTGGACATGGGATGCATCAGCACGGTAGCCTTGTTTGCCTCTGGCCAGTGCAAAGCCACTGAACGCCAATGGCTTGAAAATGTTTGGTTGTAAGGCAGAGCATCAGCAAACCGCCAGAGCTGGGGCTCTTCAAGCTCCTGCAGACTGGCTGAGTGTGTGGGAGTGCCAGACTTCAGGGAGAGAGAAGTTGGGAGCGTGCCAGTAAAATTGTGGAGGAAAGGGAAGACCTACAGGTATTAGTCGATCTAAAGATAACTGGGAGCCTCTGGTGAGATGGAGCCCTGAAAATAAAAACAAACACAAACAAACACAGGTGATGTCAAGGGAGACTGTTAGCATAGTGATTATGGAGGTGCTGGTATGAAGCCCTGGTGGCTTCTCGGTGGGAATTTCATTGCCTCTGTCAAGAAAAAATGGGGTACATTTTTTTTCCTGATGGAAAAAAAAATGCAGATGAAAACCAATGGGAAGACAGGGAGAATAGGATCCACCCCAAAAGATGACCCTGGAAGACCCTGGCCCCTTTTAGCTTGGCAGAACAAAGGCTGTGTGAAGATAAGATTTTTTTTTTTCCCCCAGAAATGCATTGCAAGCATTGAAAACAGAAAAAAAAAAAGCTCTGTAAGCTAAGAGATCACACTGGACCAGAGCTGAGTTAAGACTACCATGAGTTAAATGAGACTGACACTAAGAGGTAGGGTCTTAAACACCAGGAAAAACTGGGTTCTTTCTAAAACCAAAGGCAGGGTAGAAATCCCACCTGCTTTAAGATGGAGCTTGATGTGAAAGAAGTTTGATACGGCACTTAGGACAGCCTTAGACAGCTTCTGGGACTCAGGAGGACCTAAATTCCCATCTGTCTCTGTCAGCAGTGGAATAAACCCTGAGTAAGGTTTTGAACATTGACTTACAGGAGCCATAAGGGACTTCAGTTGAAATGTCATTTCAGGTCTGAAGATCTGAGAATATAAATGACGTGTGGTGTGTAGGGAGAAAGACTTGTGTGCCAAAAGCCTCTCTGAATTTTCAGTGGTATCAATCCAAAACCACTACTAGCCTGTCCCTGTGAGACTGTCCTTATTTATAAGGTAATCTAGGTAGATACAATCTCTTTCTGCTTATCACATATGCAAGGAAAAGTAGATGATGTAAATTCACTGTTCACAGGAAAGAAGGTAACGCGTTTTATAAGTCTCTGATCTAACTTCCATTGCAATTAATTCTTGTTTCAATGAAAAAGAAACCAAATTTTATAGACATGTCCTGTGACAGGGAGTGTACACCAAGCTTTGATAAGCTGTTCCAGTGGTCGGTTATCAGCCATGTGTAAAACTACCCCTGTGTAAAATATTTCTACTCTGATTTACACAGCTTCTACAGCCAGTGGCTCTCATTACTCTCATCTACTCAACTTAATTGCTCACTGTTTCAATTTTCCTCTCCCCCATGGAGACACATTTTATCTAGAATATCCCCTTGAATAGATTTTGGTGGGCTCTTTGACTCCTCCTCTGGAAGGTCTATCCTTCAGGGCTTTAATTGTTCCAGCGGTCCTTCTCTGAACCACCTCTGATTTACCACCTTCTCTCCTGCATTGCCCAACCCAGAACTAGATGTTGTCTTGCAGCAACAGTTGCTCCAGTCCCAGGTGTAAGCAGAATGGATCCTTCTGTCATTCAGCTGGACAGGGTGCTGGGCCAGCTTGCCTAGACTTTGCTTTTGACAAGACAGTTTGGACCAGATGACCCTTGAAGTCCCATCAAAACTGCTATTCCATGATTCTATGAGAAGAACAACAAACAACTGTATTTGACACTGTGGCCATGGCATTATAGCCATGGCATTGTTCTACCTGATGTCAATGTCTTTCTTGGGAGCTGCTTCGCAAGATGGTGTCTGCTGTCAGCTTTCCAGATAACATGGTGATGTCTGGAGTATAGGAAAATAGAAACACTACTGAGCAGTATATTGAGCCAATTTGGGTTCGGCTCCTGTGATTCAGTGCAGGTAGATTTTTGCTGGAGACCGTTTGGATGACTGTGCCTGTGGGCTCTACCATCTTTGTCTGTGACTCAGTAGCGGGAAACTATGCTATCTGTGACCATGACTGCAATAATTCTTGATGATGTGTTCAGCTAATCGAAGCTTCCACCTCTCAGGGGTGTGCTCTAATAACAAGACTATAGCCTTGTTCGGGTGGAGTTGCTCTCCACCCTCCTGATGAAACTCTGCCACTGGGCAGAAAGGAATGCAGGTTTCATTATGCTGGAGAAGGGTGAAAGTGTGAGAATGACTCTGTGAGCACCCTTCCCTTCCCCTATGAGCTCTTTAGGTCTTTCTTCTAGGGGCTATTTGATACGAAACACACGTGTCTTCACATAGGGGAGCATCAAAGAGAAATCCAGAGTCCCAGCACTGACTCAGCTAATCTGTAAAGAGCTCTTACCCCTTTCTTCCCGTGCCTGTGCTTCATTTTGGTGGCTTGCACACCCTGTCTGAAGATGTGAGATGGGAAATTGAAGCTCTCCAAGAAGAGAAGGAAATTACATTCTCATCTCCCAAATTCTGGCTTAAGCACACTAACCTCTAGGCTGAAAAGCAGCTGCACTTCTACAGATGGGAGGAAATCCCCCACCCCTACTGTATTTTTAGAAAAATAAGTGAGCTCTATTCAGTGCTCTGAGAGAAAAAAGGGACATGAACTCTACATCTGCATGTTCCTCTTCAAGCATCACCTTGCCAGCTGTGTTTGGTCATCCCTAGGAACAGAGGTACCCCAAGCATTTGCAGAAGACAGGAGAAATATCCAACATGTGGTTCTGGACTGCACCACAGAGGGATGGATATCCACAAGTCAGGCATTGCAGGGGTCCTTTAACCTGTATCAGTGCTACAGTGGACTCAAGGACTGCCTAGGATGTGTACCCTGGCCCTTTTATGGCCTGAACCCACTGGATCTGGCCCAGGCAATGCCCAGGCAGACTCTGAAGCATAGCATGGGCCGAGGATGTTTCTAATGAGGACATTCTAGTTGGAGGGATAAGAAATGCAG